GGGGGTGGACGCGTTCTTTTCCGCCGCCTGCCTCCATGAGCGTGAGGACTACCTGTACCGCGAGGAGCTGGCCCGCTTCCATCAGGAGGGAGTCCTCACCCAGCTCAACGTCGCCTTCTCCAGGGACCAGGCCGAGAAGGTACTGCTCTAGTCCCCCAGCCACTTGCTCATCCTGCCCACCATCGCTCCCAGCTGTGGCAGCGGGGGAAGAAAAGGCCCTGAGGGCTGGAGACTCCCAGCCTGGAGCCTCGCTGCTAGGGAAGGCCCGTGGCAGTCACAAGAGGACCCAGCACCTCCGCTGTCTTGTGGAGCCACCAGCACGGGCTTGGCTTCCCCTCCCTCACCATGGCCTGTGGTGTGGGGGCTCTGCTCCTCTCGCCTCACTCCCACCTTGTTTCCTGCCAGGTTTATGTTCAGCACTTACTGAAGAAGAACAAGGAAAACATCTGGAAGCTGATTAATGAAGGGAATGCTCATATCTACGTGTGCGGGTAGGTCCAGTGGCAGGGAAGGGACTTTGGGAAAACATTCCTATTCTCAGGAAAACAAGCGTGACTCAGTTTACCCACTTGTGCGTTATAAGCCCTGGGAGGGTTATGCTGTCCTTGTTCCAGGGGAGGGCAAGCGGCCAGGCAGACGGGCTGGGGTGAGCGAACCGTCCGTGTTTGGGTGTTGAGAGGCGACCAGGGCTCTGTGGCTCTGATGTGTTACTGCCTCGCTCACAGTCCCCTTGTTTCCAGCGATGCTCGCAACATGGCCCGGGACGTGCAGAACACCTTCTACGAGATCGTGGCCGAGTTCGGGAACATGGGCCAGCCCCAGGCCGTGGACTATGTAAAGAAACTGATGACGAAGGGCCGGTACTCTTTGGACGTCTGGAGCTAAGAGTAGGGCTGGCGGGACCGGGGAGACAATGGGTCCCCAGGCGTGGGCCCGTGGGAGGTGGAAAGTGCCTGCTCGCCCACTGCTGCTGTGGGTGACAGTGTCGTTCCCAGCCTGCAGCTCAGTGTCGCTCCCAACCCCTCCTGGGCCACAGCAGCCCCCGGGGCAGGCTATGTGCCCTGGGGGGTGGAAGGGGTTGAGAGGGGGAGGGGGGTAGCTCGTGCTGTTGTCCAGGAGCTGCGGTGCCCCCGGCACCCCAGGGAGCACCTCATGGCACCAGCGTTTGCCTTGAGGTCAGGGACACAGCTGATGTGGGGCAGGAGGGACGGATGGCGCTGGGGGAGCTCTGGGTCCTTCCCTGAACACGAGGTGTTGCCTTATCCCCTGGGGCTGGAGACCACCCTGGCCTGCCGGCACGGGCAGCCTGGGGACAGCAGAAGGGTGGAGGAGCCGGCAGGCCCCTGCGCTGTGGGTTTGGGGTGAGGGCACGGCGTGGGGCAGCGATCTGTCCTCGCCTCCCTCCCGCCCTGTTTGGCCATCTCTAGGATGCGGGGCTGGCAGCACAGAGCTGCCCCACGCCACCAGGACCCTGCAGGCACCCCGCTCCTTTCTCCCGCTGCCCGCCTTTGCTCCAGCACGCAGCGGGGAGGGATGGCTCCTCTCCCCTCTGGAAGAGACCCGGTCTCGGGGGGGATCTCAGTCCGCA